AGGAGAGAGAGAGAGAGAGAGAGAGAGAGAGAGAGAGAGAGAGAGAGAGAGAGAGAGAGAGAGAGAGAGAGAGAGTTGAGGTGGATGGGCGTGGATTTGCAATTTTCTTTATCCTCTCGTTCATCTTGTATATAAATTTTGGGATTCGACAACAGCGATTCGCCTTTGTTTCGTTTTCGGCTCTTTTGTCTCGGCTTTTCTTTTGTTTCTGCGGATTTGGATTTCTGTTTCGGGCGATCAGCCCCTTCCTTTGCCTTCAGTATTCACATCGGGACACATGTTTGCTTGCTGAGATCACCCCCGTATTTCAGACATTTTTTTGATCGAATGAATGGATGTTGCCTTATGTGGAATGAACGGTATGTTTGCTGCTTCTCTTCCCGTTTTTGTTCATATTGAACGAAGTAGCTGAAGATTGGATTGGTGATTGATTGTAGGACCTTGATGTATGTGCCGCCCACTCACGTACGCAATCTGCAGGGACATGGAATGAATAGATGAATGGTTGGACGTATTCGGTGACCACTTTGCACTCTGACGGAGCGATCATCTCGCCTGAGCACGTGTAAGCGCGATCTAATCTGCGCGGCCTACACGTACTCACGAACGGTGACCTGCAATCATCGAAAACCAGGACTAACCCAGAAATTCCCCGGTCGGATAAACTCGTACCGAAGGAATTCCGCTACTCCACAATGATAAAATGATGTATTCGAGGGATTCGGATTCATCGTGGGACCCAGAATATTTCAACCCTTGGGTGGAAGAGTGTCTCAGACAGAGATGCCCAAAATTCCCTTGTTTAAACGAGAACCAATTGTGCCCCTGGGAGTTTCACTGTGCCACAACCAGCGATCCGAGGTGTCCTTTTTCCCACTTCGGACCACACGCTCTATTTCATATCCCCCGGCTTCATCGTTGTCTCTACTAATTTCCCTCCCTTCCACCTCCTTCTCCCCTATCATCAGCTAACAGTTGTCCCGTGGAATTCCATCGCCCAGTTCTGGCCCCATACACCGTGTGGAAATTGCAGACGACGCAACTACCGGCGGACCTCCGAAACTCCGGCGCCCCACCACAACGCACGGCGACAGGCGCCACGTGGAGGCTTCCGAAGGACCGAGCCCCGGGAACCGCGTCGCGGGCCTCCCCCGAACCCGCCCCTAGCCTAATTGCACCCATGCCCCTAAAACTCTGCCACAGGAGATCTCAGTTCTGACCTGGGACTCCACCCCCACTTCCCCAAAAATCCTTGGCACACCCCATTTCGCACTTCCAGGCCCACCTCCCACTCCGATCAGGAAGTCGCGCCGGGCGTGAGGTTGGGCGTCACAGCACCCCATGTACTTGTCTCGAGCCTGGCATAGTGTCCTTACAGATTTTTCTGATTTTTTTTCTTTTTTTTTTTGGAGGGGGGGGGACAATGCTCCAATCTATCCGTGGGGAACCGCATGTGCTGGGAACCGGGCCCAGCATTCCATTTGGAAACATATTTAAGAGCATATACAGAAAAAAAAATTGAGATACCGGGACTTCAACCCGGCTTTGTCTGAAGAATAGGATCATGAGCAATTACTAGCCTAGAAAAAGTCTGAAAAAATCTGAAAAAATATGAGAAGTTTCCTTCTAAGCTCCACAAAGGGACTCAAGGAACCCCTCTTTTTTTAGAAAATTATGGAGTTTTTAGAAGCAAAAATAGCCATCACAAAGGTCCTATAAATGCTGAAAACCTTCGGAATCCCTAGCAAATCCTCCTAAAAATCTCCAACACTGTCTTACTCTCTGCCGAGCTCTTGTAGGTCTCGCACCCCCACCCGCTCGGGTTACAGGGCAACACGACTCACCCCAGCTCTGACCAGCGTCGTCCCCGAAGTAACCCTTAGTTGTCCCTTGAAATGCCCACCCCAAAGCATTCCCAGATCTCTCTAGCAGGCCTCACACTCCTGCATCAGCAGGTTACAGGGCAACACCCCAGTACCGGCCAGCGTCGTTCTGGCATCGGACAACCACAAATCACTGAGTATAATAGCAATGAAGCCTCCGAAAATGAGTTGCTAGGGGTCCTCACCTCGCTCCCAGGATGGAGGGTCGCAGCAAGATGAGGTCTGATTTATGCTTTTTCTTTTCCTGCAAAGACAGGAAAAGATCAGCAAATATCTGACTATCATCTTCCTGCCACGTCTCATCCAGGTCAGGGTCCATGTAAGTGAAGGATCCTGACGCAGCAACTCCAATAGAGTCAGTGAGGGTGGATGCAGAATCAGATCCATCAGAATCTGATTCAGCATAAGTGGAGGGAGTTGCTAACTCCACTTCCCTCTGCTGGTCTAGTTTTTTGGACTAGAACCAGGCCTGCGAGGCATATGGGGGCAGTCCTTCCCCCTCGAAGCGAAAACAAACCTCACGGTCCTTCCTCCTCTGCCATTGCCCCTCCTGGATCCTGAGCGCTCTCCAGGGAAGGGTGGAAGGATCCATGACGTTGACTGGCCAATGGACGTGTCGTGGAAGGTTAGGTCTCTTGGCCTGAGGGGAATCGGCACGTCCCTTCCCTTTCCCCTTCTGGCTGGCTGAACTCTTGCTGTTGTCCTTGCTGAACTTTCCTTTGAACATAGCAGCAAGATTTTCAGCCAGGGCAAGAACGGCTCGCTCAACTGCTGATCCTGATGCAGTCTCGGATGGAGGACTGCCACGCTGAGATGCATCAGAATCAGAACCTGCATCAGCAGCCAATAGAGCACCCTTCTTCTTGCGTTGTCTCCTGGAAGAGGGTTTTCTCCTTC